AGTGTTTTCTCTTAGTGAATTACTGAAGCTGATTTCCAGAGGCTCTAGCATTCCTTCAGATGTTTCTATGATCAAACTAAGTTGGAATATGTCCGGAATTGGGATTTATTTCCTGAAGTTTTGATATCGCTGACTTGATCTTTGTTTGTGCTATATTGGTCGTGCCTTAAATCGTGACAAATCCTCGTCTGGTTCAATAATTATAATAAATAATATACAGCATTTATATAGCGCCCTATATAATTTGTAAAATTACTCTAAGGCGCTTTACAACATATGGATAATAGTAATGGTTATAATTGTGAAAACAAACAACAAAGGCTTGCAATCACTTTCATACATTTAACAAGCAATGTGCACATAACTGAACAAATAAAAGGGTGGTATTTACATGACGTCTTTGCAAAGATTCTAAAATGCAGACGTGAAGAGGTGAGTTTTTATGTCCCTCTTGAACTTGGCCAGGGTATTCGACTTCCTAATAGCAGATGGTAAGCTATTCCACAACGTAGCCGAAACCCTCCCAAAGCATCTGTTTCCGTAGGTCACAGTACGAGATTTTGGGACACACAACAAAGATTCTGACTCCGACCGCAGTGATCTTGACGGCTGATACAGGGTAACAAGTTCCTGTAGGTACTGAGGAGCTGTTCCATTCAGTGCCTTGTATGTGTATACCAGAATTTTGTACTGCGACCTGTATCGTACAGGTAACCAGTGCAACGAATAAAGCGCAGGTGTGATGTGCTCTCTCTTTCGAGTACGAGTAACTAGCCGTGCTGCAGTGTTCTGAACCCTCTGCAGACGACTAGTTAGTTTGTCAGATATACCACAGAGCAGGGCGTTACCATAATCCAACCGAGAGGTAACAAGTGAATGCACCAAAATCTTGCATGCATCTGCAGTTAGAAACTGCCGAATACAGCCGATGTTCCTGATCTGGTAGTAACAGGATTTGGCAATAGCGTTCACTTGTTTCTCCATGTTCAGAGAACTGTCAAAGTATACCCCTAGGTTTTTAACAGCTGGAACAGTCTCAATAGTTCTGGCACCAACCTTGAGCTGGAGAGCCATTGTTTGCTGACACTTTGGGGAAAAGACGATTAGTTCCGTCTTTTCCTGATTAAGTTTAAGCATGTTGGCGTTCATCCAGATACTGATATCTGTCAGACAAGCTTCCAGACTTTCTGAGACTGTATTCCAACTGTCCTGTGGTTTTATGACCATGTAAATTTGTGTGTCATCAGCATAGCAATGATAGCGAAGGCTATGGCGACGACAAATCTCTCCAATCGGTTTGGAGTACATACAATATTTTCGTGGTCCTAACACCGACCCTTGAGGAACCCCGAAATCTAGTACTTTGTCATGTGAGGTGGCAGATCCAATGGCAACACACTGTCGTCGTTCACTCAGGTATCAGTCACTCCATAAGAGTATTCCAGACGTTTATAAAGTATGCCATGGTCGATGACGTCAAATGCAGCTGACAAGTCCAGCATGACAAGCACCGCTCTGTAGTTTTTCAACTCCTCCTTGTCCATTCCAGGCTTTTTTAACAATGGTCTGACATGTGCCTTCTTGAAACATAATGGAACCTTTGACTCAACCAATGATTTATTCATGATTGCGGTAATCAAAGGAAGCAGTGCTTCAAGACATTGCTTTAATAGGGCTGTAGGCAGTGGATCAAGCTCACAGGACTTCGATTGCGAGGTCATGATAATGTTGCGCAACTCGTCAATAGTGAATATGTTTGAAAGGGCCGCGGTGGCCAAGTGATTAAGGAGTCTGACATTCTGCTACCACTAGTCAGTCCTCCACCACTGGGTCGCGGGTTCGAGTTTTTTTCACCGTGATGTTTTCTCTGGGTCAATGTACAGATTTAAGTTAAAAGGCAACAACAAGTGTTCACCGAGACTAAGACCTGGCATATATACAACATTATCGACCATACCCTCCTCGTTAGTAAATCTGAGTCCAGACAGTAAGCAGCAGATTCTTCCCTGTACCTAGTGTGGAAGTGAACATGTTGATATAGAAATACAGTTTTAGTCTTTTTAAAACAAAAGAAGTCGCCGGTGATAAATAAATGGATGAACCTTACCTTTCCGATTACAGAGACCAATTCCAATTTGAGTCCCAACAGCAATACTGAAAACAACAATTTTGTGTTGTTTTCAGTATTGCTGTTGGGACTCTTATAAATATTGCAAATTAAAACTCTGTCACTATTTTTCAGCCTAATACTACCCCATATATGTTCGTCAGTTGAAGTCCACTGGTATTGTTTCAGCTGTAGCCCGGAGATTTTTTTTTCTTTTCGAGACTTGTTCCAGTGAAGATCGTAATTTGGAATTGTATAGAGTTCCTTACATCCATTGGTTGTAGATTTACGATAGATTTATGTTAACGAAATGATGTCTGATGAATTTTCTGTGATAATAGTCTGAAGTTCTGGTAACTTTTTGAGAGATAAAATATCTATATTTAAATAAAAAAAAATACTAGGAGGGTTGATCTTTGGTCTGCGACTCAATTGTTGACAAGATTCTTTGTTAAAACCGTGTTAAAACGAATGTCCTAAACTCTCTCGACATCCGGGGATAAAGGGGCACGACTGTCTAAGATGGTGTCCTGAATGTAGATCAGTGTCACATCATTCGATGATACTTCATGGTCGTTGTACCTGTCTGATGGGTTAATATCCTCCCTGAACATGGTTCGTTGAGATTTTTCACATTCATTTCCGTCACAGTATTCCTAGTTTCGGACTGTTGTTGTTTTTCCACAAACTTTTTCTTCCTATCATATCGTTGTTCGTTGGCGAGATTTCTTGTCATAATTGTGAGAGGGGACGTTTTCTTTAATTTTTCAAGAAGTATCTTTCTTTGTTTTTATAAGTATTCAAGGTCTTGCTTTGCTATTTTTTTGGGTCAAGACGTTCTTATTTCAAGATGGCATTGGTGTCCAATTTTGAAACAACATTGGAGGTGGCTATTGTTTGTTAGTCTTTAATCTTTCTCCTGACTTGCACTTTGTTGATTCTATAATTAAATCTGTGTCCCTATGCTTTCAATCGATGAGCTCCCGTGTCCTTTGGTCCACAAATTTTGTCAAATCACTTGTAGTTTCGGTGACTTTTCACATTCACTTTAAGATAAGCCACTTCTGTTGTGATCAGTTCATCATGTTTATCTCGTCTTCCCTCCATTGAAGATACTCGTTGTTCTACTCGAGTCAGTCGATGTTTGCAATGAAGTTTTAGTTGGGTTATGGAACTTTCAATTCTGAGGAGAGTTGTTTCCGTCTCCTTACAACATGTGCGTGTACAAGATAAGGTGAATCTCTCCAAGTTTAACAGCTGTAGCACATGTCTGTCTATCCCGTACATGCAAAGCAATAGTGCAATTCACACACGACACAGTCCAAATAGTGCCTATTTAGTATAGGGTCATCACATTTATTACAGAAGTTAGGCAAAGTGACATCTGCATGATATCTCTAAAGCTCTATATTTGTAGGTGTTTCAAATTTTAGGAGAAACCTTACTGTAGCTAAAATTGGCAAAGTACCCGGCTTTGCCGGGACAAACATGTAACTAACATGCTTAAAACATCCGCTGAAATCAGTCGACGCCTACATTCTGACCATCAACACTTACCCAGCAGGACCAAAACACGAAGTCTCTAATAGCAGGTTTGACCCCTGGACTAGTGACATATACAAAACCTATTTAAAATTTTGTCTTTTAGGACAATCCTTTGCGAGACATTAAGGCAGGAAAGTAAAGGAAGCCAATCTACCATTTAGTTCAGAAGTACACTCGGTTGCAGTTCAATTTTGGCCTCAGTAGCACAAATTGTGGGTTGTGCCATTGATGTGTACATACTGTTTACAATTACCGTTTCCTGTTGTATAAGTACCTTAGTGAGGGTGCTGGTCCCTTAAGGTCATAGGAGTGTATTGATAAACGGTAATGAGAAGTTAATCCCTAGTTGAAAATCCAATGTAGGGAGACAGTATCACAATTTCCGCATATTCTAATGTTTAATATTAAACTGATGAATATTGTATGTTTGTTATTGACAGAACAGTGTGTTCTCTCAATATTAAAGTATTTCAAAGCAATCCAGGCATTAATTCAGTTTTTTTTTTTTATCAAGGAGTAACATGTGTCCATTTTTCTGTACTTCAGGAAACCGGCTACTGTGAAGTTTTTCAAGACAGATAACTCTTACATGCAATTACTATGTGTATATGGTTTTATTATAAAATGTCATTTATAGATAATCTATTTTACACAGTTTCAGCATTTATTATATTAATATACGTTAATGCAATACTAATGTATGGCAGTATCATCTTTATTGACAGTATTTTGCAAAAACTTGTCTTTCATTTTTTCCTCAAAATTCACTCCTTTTTATATAAATTTCCATTTAAAATCCTTAAAATTCTGACAACCTATATTTTTTTGGTGGCAGAAAATGTCCTTTGTTTCAAAGCAATATAACTACAAAATTTGAAGAAATTCTACCGAGAAATGGCGACACAATCCTATTACCTTAACCACTAGATGGCTTGATGAAATGAACCAAATGGTACTTTTGGTCCTGTAACTTCAACCAGTATTTGAGCTATTGACTTGTAATAGCACATATTCTGCATAATAAGTTTGCGCCAAAACAGATTTGTCAAAGTTGAAGTTCTCAATAATTTGTGAACAGCTNACAGAAGAATATGACTAGATTTGGGATGTTATATATCATAATCTAAGATCATTATAGGTAGACAGATATTGGTGTAAGATAGTATAGCTGCAACTTGTAGGTTATTGGAATGAATTTGATGGAAAAAATGGTGCAGTGGGGAAAATACATGTAGGTTCATCAATATATTATTATACTCCCCTAAATCCAGTGTCATCACAGCATGTCCAGACATTTTTTGTGTTTACTGTAAATTTTGCAAATGAAAAAGAAGAAAAACAAATAATCAACATTTGAGCACTTTATTGACCATAGTTAAAGCTGACACTAGGGAAGATCTCAAAACCAGAAACAAAAAATCAGGTTTTTTTAATCTCAATTGAAAGCTTTTTAACTTGTACTGTCAGCTTTAACTTGTTTCAAAAAAATTATGCGAAGAAAAAATACTTTTTGGTTATTATTTGTACAACTAAGATCAATGGCATTCATAATTTAATTTAGCATCGTCTCTCAATCATAATGTTCTTAATTACCTATATGGTATACAATCACTGGCCATTCAAGCAGAGAGTAAAGGATTTTACCTACTAAAATTACAGCCCTCTGATGAGATTAAAAGCTTAAGTTCTCAAGTGTCAATACATGTAAAATACATAACTGTAGAAATCAATAGGCAAGACTTTTACCTCATGATCCGGGATCGATCATCACCTTTTATTTTGGTCCATTAAACACTCTTCCTAATTACAAATAAACTGCCTTTTCTAAACATAAATTCTAATTTGCAAAAAAAGCTTTTATATTTATGGTAATAATTTAAGGACTATTCCATAAATATATCACATGTACAGGTAAGTAGGCACTTTTCTGTGAGCAGCCACAGTAACTTTTCCCCCTGAAGCTTACTAGTACTATACAAGCACTTATTATAGATAAGACCCACATTAATCATCAATTACAAATGCCCCCTTCCCTATTTTATATTCATATATGGATTAGCCTTAGATTATAGTGCAGTTATTGTCAATGTGGTTAATAATTTAATACTAGAGCACTTAATTTCACAATTTATCAACTTTTCTCCTGGTTTGATCAATTCATAAATCAATAAATCAATAAATCAATAAACCCATGTTTGGCAAAGCATGACCATGTTCTTCCTCATTGATTTGTCAGTGCACAAGGAAACACTGAAATATTTTGATTCATTAGGTATGAATACCCTGGGAATCCTCATCCAATTATTTTTCAAGTTATCGAAGTATATCATACTAATTATGGATTACTATTGTTTTGTTTAAATATCCTTTCATGCACTCAGACTTGTTTGTAGATTATTTGACTGATGCTTTGTTATATACCGGGTAACTGAGGCAAATACTGCATACTGGGAATGTTTTGCCCAATGCCAGTAAAATACATATTTGCTCGGTGTTATTTTCTCCCTTCACATTTGGTAACTATGTTACTTATGATACATTGGGCCTCATTACGGAGGGAGAAAAAGGCGAAAATGCCCTGGTATACAGCATTTTTTCATAAATGACAGCAACAATCACTCTGGTGGAAGGTCAAGGAATTTTAAAAGGAAGAGACCTTAAATCCTGAAAAAGGTAGTTTATTTTTGAGAAAAACAAAGTCAAATTGATGAATCATTTGGTGGCTTATAGATATTATTTCTTCAGCTCACCCAACAGAGCATTGGACCCTTAACTCATTCACCCCTGACGACACATTTGAACTCTTCCAATTCAATTGTTGGAATAGTTCATCCTGAAATTTCAGGGGTGAATGAGTTAATACAGAGTTGTCAGTTCTGGATTTGACTTCGCGCAGAAACAGTTTGAAAGAGTGATCTCTCAAGTAAAAATGACTTGTAATGAAAAAATAAACAATTCAATCAGTAGGTAAAGAGGCATCCCTGATATGAAAGACAAATGTGTCCTGATAAAAAGGAACCCACCCCTACAGTGTACATATCACAGCAACCCATTCCTGTCATCACATTTTATAGAGGTACACAAATATGACTTAAATCAATACTTATTAATTGAAAATTAGATTGAATTAGTAAGATTTCTTGTAAACGTGTAAAAGTATGACGTTACGTTGACAATTTTGAATGATAGCCAGCAATGATAACTTACTGAAGTGTTGGCAATGTGTGCTATTTATGTACAGAGAGTAAATATTTGTCAGCGTGAGCACAATACGGTACGACAAAATCCCTGACAGTTGTAGTTTGTTGATCCACCTGGCCTTGATTGTACATGCTATTTATGTATATGTTTGACAATGCAAAGGAGAAGTAATATCTGTGTCTAATAACAAAGGATGGGTACATGAAAACAAAATCTGAAAACTAAACGTGATAGATTACGCAAGAAGAGAATGAAAGAGCTGCCTCCATTAAACAATGAAATACAAGTACAAGTACTAGATTTGAGAGCTTTAGGACGTTTTACAGAAATTCTACTCTGAGTGATTCAATGATTGCATTGGTATGATGGCTTCTCTTTTAAGTATGACCTGATTAACCCTTTCACCACTGTAGACCATAATGGGCTCATCCAGATCAATGTATAGTATAGTTTACTCAAGTTGCATAGGGGTGAAAGGGTTAATAGAGATTTGTCAGTCAAGTTTCAGCATGCAAATATATATAAACAAATCAATCATGTGAACCAAACTTACGACTAGACAAGAAGAAATCACAAGTTCAGGTTCTATGTCTGGATTTCTCTCGTATCTATCCTTGTTACCCCCATTCTTATTGACACTTTGAAGATTTTCAACAAATTGAAAGTTTATAGAGCCATATTATTTGTTCTGGTATATCACAAAACGAGTCCATGTATCCAGATTGTTTTCTGGTACATTGTATATCAAAAATAAATCTGCACAAGGCTGATTTCAAAACCAGCTTTTCATCAGTCCATTTCTTCATTGCTGGTTGTCAGAATATCATGACATCTAGAAAAATGTTATTCCAACAATTATGCCACTTCTAAATCAGCAACTGACAACAAACTTGGATAACATCACTTCTGACTGTTGAGACACTGATAGTTCATATCCCCTGAAGAGTTCTTGTCACCATGTAGGAACACCAAATCTTGTCATCAGTTTGTCTTGGTCAGCTAAGTCTTTTTGCACTTTCTTCCGCATGTAGAATATAGGACAATCTCGACTACAAAGAAACAAAGACATCCTTTGTCAACAACTTTAATCAAGCAGAAACAATATCTGTCTCTCACGTGCTGGAGACATGAAGCACATAGGCCAAAAGGTATCTAACCCAATTTAGACTGACCCTTGGGAACTGATTTTATATTTAAAGAATGGTTAATTTTGACAATTAACGCAACTCTAGGCACATATTTTATTTAAAGAATTGTTAATTTTGACAATTAAAGCAACTCAAGGCAAGCATTTTGCACAAAGAAGAATTTCAGGAGGTTTGTGTTTTCTTAAGTTTGATCTCAGGGAAATCTTACTTTGTACAGAAGGGGGATGGTAAAAAGCTGATTGAAGAAGAAGAAACAGGAATAAGGAACAAGCATATGTTGACGTGCTATTTGACTTAAAACTGGGTATTAAAGTTATAAATTGATACAGCCCCCTGGGGGGGGTCAGCCCCACCATTTAAACAATTTTGAATCCCAACCACCTAGGAATGCTTACAGTCAAATATGGTTGATATCCATCTCTTAGTTCCAGAGAAGTCGCTAAAAGCAATATAGCAAAATAACACTTTTTGGCCCCGTCCCTCAGCCCCCTTGGGGATCAGCCACACCATTTGTACAATTTTGAATCCCTGCCTCCCATGAATGCTTAGGATCAAATATGATTGATATCCAGTGCATAGTTCAACAGAAGTCGTTTGTAGCAATATAGCCAAATTTCCCCCTTTTAGCCTCACCCCAGTGGTCCTCAGCCACCATTTAGTACAATTTTAAATCTCTACTACCTAAGGATGCTTCCAGTCAAATATGGTTGATATCTATCCCTAAGTTCCAGAGAAGAAGTCAAAGCAATATAGCCAAATTGCCCCCACCCCTCAGCCCCCTTGGGGGTCAACCCCAACATTTGTACAATTTTGAATCCCCACAACCCAGGGATGCTTCCAGTAAAATTGAGTTAAATTCCAATCATGTTTAAGAAATTGTTGACGTACGGACGACAGACACCATGGTATGGCATAAGCTCACCTTGGTCCTTCGGACCCGGTGAGCTAATAATACTGTCAATGCTTACCTGGTACACAACACATCTTCATGCAGACTGCCCTGACAGCGCTGACACTGCGTCCACAGGCGTGAGAACTTCTCCTCTAGCATGCCAAGATGGGACACCTCCTTCTGGTAGATACCAGACTCCTTAGGTTTACAGTACTTACACACTGCAGATTCTGGGGAAACACATTGGATGATAGAAATTAATATTTTGAGCACAATTTTCAGTTTTACATATATGCATAACGATTATTGGGATAAGACATTTGAAATTTAGCACTTGGCCTCAAGTTAACTTCATAAATTACCCTCGGGTTGAGAGAATCATGGTCAACTTAATAAGTTACCCTCGGGTTGAGAATTATGGTCAACTTAATAAGTTACCCTCGGGTTGAGAGAATCATGTTTAACTTCATAAGTAACCCTCGGATTAAGAGAATCATGGTCAACTTAATAAGTTACCCTCGGGTTGAGAGAATCATGGTCAACTTAATAAGTTATCCTCGGGTTGGGAGAATCATTTTCAACATCATAAATTACCCTCGGGTTGAGAATCATGGTCAACTTAATAAGTTACCCTCGGGTTGAGAGAATCATGGTCAACTTAATAAGTTACCCTTGGATTAAGAGAATCATGTTAAACTTAATAAGTTACCCTCAGTTGAGATTTCTCTCTATCTACTTCGCACAACAGAGAAAGACAATTATTGAGCTTAACAAAAATTAAACGACATTTCCACAGACATTTATTGTACTTTTTTAGTCATTTCTGATTCATGACAAGAATGCTCTAGGAATCTGAAAATCAATGGGAACTCGTTTTTTAAAACACTTACTGTCATCCAGTACTGTTCGACAGCCAATGCATTTCTCCTTTTTGGTAGCAAATGCCATTAGGCCACCAATTTTAGCTGTAACCGTAGTTTTCGTACGGGTATGGTCTCCACCTGTCGATTCAAATTTTACATTTTTTATCACACTTTTTAACTTTCTATTCAAAGTCATCTTGTTTATTAGCCTTTTTTAAACAAAAATTTCATTATGAATAAACAGAAGGCCTAAATGATCTATGCTGTCCTGATATTGACATGTTCAAATTAACTTTTTCTTGTGTAATTGTTGTATAAAATTTGCAAAACATTAGACAATTATAATTGACATTTGGCCTGTTCTGATAAAAGCTGATTTTAAACCTGTTTGGGAAACATTCTTTAATAGTGCAATTTTTTTTATTTCACAAATACGACAGCTTTTTTTAAAGTACAAATTTGAGTTGTAGTCCTTAAGAACTTTAAGAGTTAATTTCTTCTGTATTTTGAACATTTTTACTAAACATATGATGTATTTTGTTATTGTTTGATTACTAAACTGACCAATTAACTGGTTACCTGGTCGGAAGATTTTTCGAGTAACCGGTTTCTAAAATATGTCTGGTTTGATAATTAACTAATTTTTTATTAATTCTATGAGAAGTTTAAGGTACCAACTCACGTAAAAGGACAGATTCTGCTTTCTTCTCGCCAAGAATTGGTTCAAAAATCCTGAGAAGAGGCTTGGATAGCTGGTTCTCCAGGTAATACTGTGTGTCAATAGGGATGTTGTTCTCCAGGACATATATAGGGTCCTAGGACAGGCAAAAGACAGGTTAAAGGTCAATATTCATGAGGACATGTCTCAGGTCACCAACACAAAGCAGACAAGTAATAGTTAAACATTGTATGAAGTGAGGTTAATAATAACACATAAGACATGGGACAAACCATGCTCATTACTTCCACAAGTTATGAGTAATGTACTCAGTCTCAACTTATCTTATACAGGCTATATACTGAAAATCTATCTACAGGAATGTACTTAAACCAACTCCAGGACAACAACTAACGAATGAAATTTGAGTCTCCCAGGTACAAGATATGGAAAGCCTAAAACAATACTTCTCCTCATACAGACAAAACAACAGATATTTTGATACCCATGATGTTTACTTGACCATATGATTAAATAAAAAAGCACAAAAAAAAACTATCAGGGATCAATAATCCACAATGAAAGGGTACTGATCACTACAGAATGGATCACTTTTTTTTTTTTTTTTTTTTTAATTTAATTTTCACTGAACACAGGAGAATTTTCAAGAGGTATCCCCATACCACTCTTTATTGAATCTCATACTAATATATAAACACCAATTGATGTGCAATAAGTTTACCATGGTCCGTTCCAAAACTTACCTGTATTTCTATTTTAAGACTCTTTTTGGATGTCTGATAAAAGTTGTCCCTAATGCTTTGAAATGAACCTGCACCTTCTAGCACACCTGAGTTGAAACACTGGTAAACGCTTGATAACAGGAAGGTTACTCTGTATCATCATTCAGAACTCTGATATAGGATTAAGAGGACGTAGCGGACCTGTTCACTATATGACTGCATATACAAACCTCAGACTTCATGTAAGCTGCTGTCTTTTTTGCTGCGGCAATAATGACATAAGGGACTCTGTCTCCAAGTTGAGGGGCACTGCCTGGGTCTCTTTTCTTTATTCTGGATGGATAATTAAGAAAAGTGTACACTTGTGAATAGTTAAATCTGTCTTTACAATAATTACTAATTTTAATTAAAATGTCGTTGCTATCAGATAACAACCTGTTTATAGTGCCTAAGAATGAGGCAAAGTTTCATATTATGGCCTCAGAGACTTTTATTGGGTTTATGTAGAAAAAGGATTCTAGTTCGATTGCATTTCTTGCAGAGTGTGGTTCATTACATATAGTGACAACTATTGTCATAACAGGAAATACACCAGACAATAAACGTGGTGTTGCACAAAAGTTAACTTAAAATAAGTTTCTGATTTTTGAAATAAAAAAAATGTTCACCCTGCAAAGTTAAATAACAAAATCTCAAGTTTATTAAGTAAATGAATACCCAGTACTTCATGTGCCAGTTACAGGGTAAAATTACAGTAACAGGGTTACAGTACACTGAACCAAATTTCTCTGAGGAGCTCTGAGCATTGCTCTGCACCTTACTGTTACCTGTTTGCCAGTTCTACGTGGGCCTGTTTTGCCGAGTACTCGTCATCGGTCTTCGTGAGTTCCTTGGTGATGACCAGCTGTGAAATATCTATCCTGTTACACAGCAGGTCAGATATTGTCTGTTTCGCATATTCCACAGCTCCCTTTGGGTCTCTGCAGGGAACAAATATAACACTTGAGCTATACTTATCCTCGGGACCTTTTAAGTTGTAGGATACATTTATATACATCTGATGATGTTAGGCTAAAAATCAACCTGTCCCTGATCACATCTCAGTAAATCGATTTTGTTTCTCATCTTACAATAAAACAGGTTTCCTACTTTATAATATATTCTACTTGTATAAACCCAACCTGACTCTCACTTTGCAATAAAACGTGTCTCTGACCTGATGATAAAGCATACCTGTCTCTTACCTTACAATAAAATGTATCTCCCACCTGATGATAAAGCCTACCTGTCTGTAAACACCTCGTATATAAAGCCTACCTGTCTGTAAACACCTCGTATATATATATAAAGCCTACCTGTCTCTCACTTACAATAAATTATGTCTCCCACCAGATGATAAAGTCTACTGGTCTCTCACTTACAATAAATCATGTCTCCCACCTGATGATAAAGCCTACCTGTCTGTAATCACCTCATATATAAAGCCTGTCTGTCTGTAATCACCTCGTATATAAAGCCTACCTGTCTCTCGCCTTACAATAAATTGTTTCACCCACCCGATGATCAAGCCTACATGTCTCTCACCTTAAAATAAATTGTGTCTCCCACCTGATGATAAAGCCTACCTGTCTCTCACCTTACAATAAATTGTGTCTCCCATCTGATGATAAAGCCTTCATGTCTGTAATCACCTCGTATATAAAGCCTACCTGTCTCTCATCTTACAATAAATTGTGTCTCCCACCTAGTGATAAAGCCTACCTGTCTCTCATCTTACAATAAATTGTGTCTCCCACCTAATGATAAAGCCTACCTGTCTGTAATCACCTTGTATATAGAGCCTACCTGTCTCTCACCTTACAATAAACCATGTCTCCCACCTAATGATAAAGCCTACCTGTCTCTCACCTTACAATAAATTGTGTCTCCCACCTAATGATAAAGCCTACCTGTCTGTGATCACCTTGTATATAGAGCCTACCTGTCTCTCACCTTACAATAAACCATGTCTCCCACCTAATGATAAAGCCTACCTGTCTCTCACCTTACAATAAACCGTGTCTCCCACCTAATGATAAAGCCTACCTGTCTGTAATCACCTTGTATATAGAGCCTACCTGTCTCTCACCTTACAATAAATCGTGTCTCCCACCTAATGATAAAGCCTACCTGTCTATGAGGAGCATCTGGAGACAGGTGTTGATGAGGTTGGCCACTATAGGACTGTTATCTCGTCTCACTGTCTCTATACCCTTACAGTCCATCTTGTCATGTTTCTCCGCGTTTGTCCAGTACAATCCCGCATAACGCTTTTTGTTGATTAGTAAATATGGAAAGTAAACCTACAAAAATGTCACAAAATTATTAGTTACCAATACCAACGTATCATTAAGGACTCTTTTAAATTGAAGATAATGTTTTTTTTTAAACTTAACAAGGGAGGGTAACATTTTTGTTTCCTTTTTTTCTATCATCCTAAAACAGATGAAGCGATCTAGTACAAAAACGTCTTTTTAAAACAATGAAGTTGAGATAATTGACAGCAGTTACACGAAGCAGAAGTCTGCAGATTATTTACATGTGTATTAGTATCAAGAACTTATCTTTCTGTACTAATTTCAGGGACATTGACTTATGTTTACCTTGAGATTTTTGTTTTTTGTAAAGTACATTGTATGAATAATTATTTGAGTGGTACAATGTACTGGAATTTATGACCAATGCTGAACACAAATTTTTGCAAAAATCAATATAATACTCAATATAATAATTTTGTCAGTGTCAGGATAAGAAATATCACCAAGATGCACAAAATTAAAGTTTATTAATGAATGAAAACACATTCATGACAAATTATCTAATTTCATTTCAGGTAACATACATGTTGAATTTAACTCGGACAACAAAAATTTGTTTTTCCAAAATGCAAATGATACATATTTCTTTACTATGGCAGCACTGAACAATATACTGATATATAATTAGAGCCATATTACACCAACCTTTTCAAATTCTAGTTTGATTGGGCTGACAAATTTTTCTGAGATAAAGGAAGCTGCCTCTAGTCCTAGTTCCATGGCCTCCGCCACAGTCTCCACACCAAACTTACACATCACAGAGTCTGTATCTCCATACACAACCTGTCAAACAATTACAACATGTTTTATGAAAATCACAGCCAACAGTAAAAAAAAAAAAAAAAATCTTTCTTACAGCTACAATCATTTCCTGTTGAAATATGCAGTAAACATATTTGACTCAACTCTTCCTGTCCAGGAAAATCATTTAAGTATGCCAGGGTTTCCGAGTTTGGTATCGGAACCAAATATCTCGGTGAGTTAGTAAAGTCATTCAATTCAGCACGAGTTCATCTGGCTCTAATGCATACCGAAATTTCTTAACTGCTATACTGCATATATGCATATTTAGGATAACTTAATACACTTCTAAAAGTAGGTACTATTGTAAAGGAAACAATTCAGGATACCATACTAATTGATTTGCCAACAATCCTGAATTAGTAATGTAATGAAAAAAGAAGATGATAAAGATTTGCAACAATAAATAATATAAACTTATATAATTTATAATACCGTTTTACGTCAATGACAAAAAATCAAAACACATCGTTTTTTTCTCCAATTTTTTTGGGTGCGCAAAATATTCGAGCAGAAGCTTTTTTTTCCAGATTTTCAGCCTCAAAAAGTACCTGCGCAAATAACATGGGTTTTTACGGTACATCTGTTCAACAGTTAATGCATATACCCGGTAGTTGTCTTGCAGCAGTCAGGATCAAGCTACCTGTATTTGTCATTATGACACATGATTGTCCAGGTAATCTAACACTCTTTCTACCCTATCTAATCTTTTAATTTGACGAGTCTTCATCATCATTTCCTCTAAACAACGATATGACAGGGCCTTAAAAGATTTTTCCTAAAAAATAGAAGTAGGAAGTTAACCTTAGCATCATGTTTGTAGCCATTAGCAATGGTGTATTTCTCCTCCACATAGTTCTTAGTCTGCTCAATCATTGTCCTCCCAAAGGCAGTCACACTCTAGAAAATTTAAAGCATATCAATAAATTAATCAACCAACAAACCAATATACCATTCATTTAATTCAACTGTTCAATGTGCTTCTTCCTTGTTCAAGCTTTATTGAGATACATGAAGACTTGTCTATAATGTCAACTTGTCACAAAAACTTGGCTATAATGAACACCTGTCTATAGTGATAGTATTGACTAGTCTGGTACTGTATGATTTGTAAGACATGTATATCTAACTGGTCCTGTATGATTTGTAAGACATGTATATCTTACTGGTCCTGTATGATTTGTAAGACATGTATATCTTACTAGTCCTGTATGATTTGTAAGACATGTATATCTTACTAGTCCTGTATGATTTGTAAGACATGTATATCTTACTGGTCCTGTATCATCTGTAAGACATGTATATCTTACTGGTCCTGTATGATCTGTAAGTCATGTATATCTTACTGGTCCTGTATGATCTGTAAGACATGTATATCTTACTGGTCCTGTATGATCTGTAAGACATGTATATCTTACTGGTACTGTATGATCTGTAAGACATGTATATCTTACTGGTACTGTATGAATTGTAAGACATGTGTATCTTACTGGTCCTGTATGATCTGTAAGACATGTATATCTTACTGGTCCTGTATGATTTGTAAGACATGTATATCTTACTAGGCACTGTATGATTTGTAAGACATGTATATCTAACTGGTCCTGTATGATTTGTAAAACATGTATATCTTACTGGTACTGTATGATTTGTAAGACATGTATATCTTACTGGTCCTGTATGATTTGTAAGACATGTATATATTACTAGTCCTGTATGATTTGTAAGACATGTATATCTTACTGGTCCTGTATGATTTGTAAAACATGTATATCTTACTGGTCCTGAATGATTTGTAAGACATGTATATCTGACTGGTACTGTATGATTTGTAATACATGTATATCTTACTGGTCCTCTATGATTTGTAAGACATGTATATCTGACTGGTACTGTATGATTTGTAAGACATGTATATCTTACTAGTCCTGTATGATTTGTAAGACATGTACATGTATTACAAGTCCTATATAATTCAACTAGGCATCTTACCTGTGATATTTCAAGACAAGGCAGTTTGCCGACCTGAGCTCCAGTAAATCCATACACCGAGTTGGCACTTATCTTCAAGGCAAGCTGACGACCATCTAACACCTTTTTCTTAAAGGGATCTGTCTCTTTCTTTAGGTCAGCTTTAGCTCTGGGTACAGGTAGATCAATATATATACAATAAAACAAGTGTTCAAACTTTTTTTAAATCACATTACATTGGAGAGAAAACACAGAAATACAAAAATTAGATTATTTTTTTACGTTAATGTGTATTTTTATAGTTAATATTCAACAGTGAAATATAATTATCTTAAATATTTTTTAAATGATTATTTTGATAATAATTTGTGGAATTATAACTACTGCACTGAAAGTCAAGCAATTACTTAAGCATTGAACTGTTTTTGTATGGTATTTATGATCTATTTGATAGCGCGCATTATTGTTTGCTTGCAAAGCTGTGTCATTCAAATAGATCATAAATACCATACAAAAACAGTTCAATACTTATATTTACGTTTTCTCTGCCTCTTATGTTCTTTTTTAACTTATAATTTATATTCAAAATTAAAAATGCCTCCTTATCGACAGTCCACACAATTTCGTTCAATAGTTCGAACAGCGTATTGTCGCGTGCTGATTGGCAAACAAAGTACAGTAGTACTTTGAAATATTAACAAACACTTCAATTTTATTCCACAATTCAGTATCAATACAATTGCATATGATATGTCTATAGGGTGATTTAAGTTTAACAATAGAACTCTGAGCTGAAAGTTAGATTTGAAATTGTTTCGATTTTCCCCCGGAACAAATTTCGCGCATGGACAAATACAGTGAACACCGTAAATCCAACCTTGCCCTCCACAAGGGAGTTATTTTTGGAAGTTAATTCGAACTTTTCTCTTTGCTCATTTTGTGAAGAATCCAGGCGTGAATGTATTTGTTGATTGTATGGGAACCTGACAACAGTCGGTAGATTCTATAACATCCTCGTTATTTGACATGTCGTCAGAAACTGAGGAATGGTGGATGCGAGACGCGTGAAACTGATAGCGTTTGAAGTGAGTGATCTTGCGACGGAGCACAGGTTCGTTACAAATGTCTGAAATGTTTATGTGTGCTGTGACTCATATCAGTAGGTCTGTAACATATGTGTCAGTAGGTCTATAGAATATGTGTATTTAAGACATTTGTAACGAACCCCTGTTGATCAGTGCAGTGAAACAGACGATATTTCTGATAAATTGCATGAACATTAAAATTGTTTCCATTGCCGGCATTGGTGATTTCAACCGATGTGCATTTTGTACGATATTGCAGACCTTGGTCTTGCTTTCGTTGTAATAAAAGTGTTTTTTATTTCATTTTTTATTTTGCACATTAATTTACAATGACATTGTCAAATCTTACAATGCCCAGCGATATTTCAGCAGCCGTCATGTTTATTTATATTGGATATTGTAGTTCCGGTCAGTGTTGGACTAATACGCTAAGAATTGTGTCTCGTGATGCATGGTAATTAAAGTCCCATCAACGACACAGCTTTCAAAGAGGCTATATAGTGACATGCCATGCAAATGTAAATATAACTTCTTTAGAGAGATGAATTTTTGCTATAAAATCAAGGTTAAAATAAATAAAACAAGGTTACCGCAAGGTATATAATACGCCCGTCACACATTGAATGAGCAGTTGTTTGTATGATTGAAATAAATGAAGTATTTGTGAGTAATTGATATTGAAAGAGAAATCATTCAACATAACTGGTAGATCAATGAGTGCAATTCAACATCATGGAACACATGCATCGCATTAATGAAACCAAGGGGAATAACTCCAATAATTACGGTCGGATAACGGCGGTTATCGAACTTGTCTGAGGTTTCATGGTAATTAACCTTTTTGTGAAGTTTAAAGTTAATCCGTTAATAATTACTCGAGATATTGAGCGGACACTGTTTGGCAAGTCCATAAAGGGGCATAACTCCACAAATTATGGTCGGATAATGGTGGTTATCGAACTTGTCCAAGGTTACATGGTAATTAACCTTGTTGTAAAGTTTGAAGTTAATCCGTTAATAATTACTTCGCCCACCCATGCCCGCCCGCCCGCTCACGTGATAACATAATACGTCCCCGTCTTTGACGGGCGTATAAAAAGTAGTTTCCATGGTAACAACAGACACCATCCAGTACACCTTACTTTTTCCTAGCACCTAACAGGTGCTCCAGAATTTCTGGGAGAAGGCCTTTCCTGTGCTGGGCCTTGATAAAAAGATTTCCTGAGGGTGTCTTGATATACTGCTCCGGAGACAGTCTACAGAAAATGTAAAACAGTGGTTTTGAAATAAAAATTACTTTCAAATGAAGTGATTAATGGTTTGTGCTGAAGTATAATGATATATTTATACTCATAACATGACAACAAGGATTACTACCTGTATTTATCATTAAAGATGAATTCTTCAAGAGGATGAAAGGAAGGAATGATGAACACAAAAAAAGTGACTACTTTGGAGTATTGAAATGGTACAATGAAATATATACATTACTCAATCACTGAAAGGTTTTTAAGAAATGTTACTAGATTTCTAATTACTTTATTAATTAGTGATTTTGATTTTTTTTCTTTATGTAATGTTGAAATACACTTCCCAATATCTTGTTAACTGAAGTTTGTAGAGGTTATGACGATCAGTAGTTTTCTGTAGTGATAATGTGGCTTACCCTTCTTTCGTTATGGCGTGCTGGCTGAGCAGTGTGGTGTAACACAGATTGTGAGCCATCATGATGGACGGATACAGGGATGAGAAATCTAGTGTGGCTATGGGCAAGTCGTAGTATCTAAAACACACATAAGATCAATATGTCATGCTTTTTATCCAGAGTCAAACTCCATTTATTTCTTGTATTTCTTGTCTCTTGCACTTGATAAACAGCTGACTTGATTACAGAATTTTCCCTTATAACACCCCTTCTCCATCCCCACATCTATACAATATTTGACTAATGGTCAATACTAACCCCTTGTTTGGTTCTATAACAGTAGCACCCTCATACTCATCGCCGACCTCTATTTTCTGTGTTGGAAGCACCAGGTCTTGTTCTTTAGCCTGTAAAGAAAAATATCTGTCATTTCTTCCACATTTTCATGATATCCTGATGATGTTAAACATCTATGCACTGGAAGTGTTCATTCACTTGATGTGTAAAACCAAATTTGAATATTGGCAATATTAAGCGAAAAATCAGATTGCGGAATATTGACCATTTTTAAAGATATTCAAACTTATAAATATGTTTTTATTGTTGATTTTGTTACCAATCAACATTATAATAACATGGATTCAACATTTTTTTCATTTTAGAAATATCAAACAGTTCCTCTCGTTTTAATATTTTGTGAAATAAATTACAGTTGGCAGACTAAGCCTAGACATTAGTATGTAACACAAACAGATACATTATTTTACTTCTATTCTTAACACTGATAGCTTTGCGTTTTCATTGTTAAACAGTTTTATATCTTATTAAATATTGTCATCTTTATTAAACTTATATTACTTTCTATCATCTACTATCCCACAGCTTGTGCTGTCTGTCGTCCCACCTGATCGATAGTGATGTCGAACTAACCCAGTATTTGTCAGCTACCATGTATTCCTCAAACAATTAATCTGGACCCCACAAGTTTGAGTTAGTGGGGTTTTACTCTATATACAATTTAATATTCATCCCCCGAGGCAAAGAATATTTCTAAAGATCAAAAAGAAAATTCTGCTTTTTGAATGAATATCTGTCAGAATTTTCTTTACATTACTTATGTTCTGGTAACTATAATCCAAGCATGGAAAGAACCGCTCTAGATCTATTACTGACATTTTACTTGTGACATCACAGAGTGTTTAGAAGTTAATTTCTCATCCTCCCCTTCATATGTATGTAATAGTGGTTTTCATACTAGAGAAAGGTACATTGTCCTATCAATAAGATAAAGCAGTGTCTTACCTTTCTCAGTAGCTGTGATATGACTTTGATCTGTTGTCCCCGAGACAGGAGGTAGGGTAGGGGCACCCCTGTCACTCTGGCCATTTCTATGTAGTTGATGACACACATGAGTTTGTCTAGGAGACGTATAGGTAATAGGGCATCCTTCAGACAGTACACTGCCAAACGACGCCGCGTCTGGTCTGTACCGTTCTGTAAGGTCAGAAGCGAACATGCAATACAATATAGGCCTAAAATGACTAGATGTACATATTATACGCTATATTAACTCATTCACCCCTGAAGACACATTTGAACCCTTCCAATTCAAAGGTTGGAATAGTTCATTATGAAATTTCAGGGGTGAATGAGTTGATAAGTCCAAACAAGAAAGATACATGTAATGTGCTGCATTAATTAAAGGCCTACATTCTAGGATGTAAAGCAGAATATTTTCTTTATGAAGTTAAAAAAAATCATTTGGCCATTAACATGCTGGTATGAAGGACTACCAAGTTTGTTCAAATGAATGACCTTCGCCCATACTCAAGGTTACAGTGGTCAATATATGTTTAAATCTTTAAATGATTTGTTCTGTATAACCAAAAGGTCTAGAGTAATGATATTTTGCTAGAAGCATGCTGGGTTTGAAGACTATAAACTCTGTTCAACCTAATGTCCTTGTTCGACATTCAAGGTCACAGGCGTCATATGTTTAAATCTTTTAGTAAGTTTTTATGAATCAATATTTAACAATTGTATTTTTTCTACTATTTAAATATTAATTACTGATTTGCAAAAACTAGGTCCAACAGAAATGATTATATGAACAGTAAATCATAACATCTCTATTTTGTTAAGTCTTTAAAATACTAACAAATTGGTTTTTTTACAGTAATTCTTTATTTTTTTATGTGTTGCTCACTTGCAGGTCTGTAATGATGGAGTGTTGCACATCTTCTTTCTGCTCTTGTAGAAAGTGGAATGAGACAGCATTTAGGGAATACGACCTCAGTTTGTAGTCCCTCAAAACAATCTGAAATCAGAAGTCAACTCCAATGATGAGACGGAACACCTAGATACATATGTCAGGTATTTAAATATATCCTCCGAAAGAATACAATCAATCTCACACAGACTAAAGTCGTAACAATATTTCACAATGTTGGCAATCCGGACTGATACGCTGTAAGGTTATTTTCACTTAAATTTACAATTTTTTTAAGGGATTGATTTTGAGATAAACGGATTCATTTCATTTCATTGGTGGGTTTTTTAACAGATACAAATGGACTGCCATAATATCAGCACAAATCTAGCATTCTATCAAAACAATCTTTTTTGTAAGAACTACAGTACACTTCAGGTGATTTGGTACTGAAACCCCGCGCGGGCGACAGTTGTCGCGCAGGTGAAGGGGATTAAAGCCCCACCAAGAAATCACCTGAGCAAAGTCGCTGGGGGCCGCCCACCCCGCGCAGATGAGTGTTGGGGATTAACTTGTCGATCGGCAGCTAACTAATGTACTGTACATTGAATAGCACTGACAGTCCAGGATGCCCGAATGCTATATTTATATGCTGTATGCACGACTATTTCATGCAATACAATATAGTAGTAGAACATGGTACGTCTGAAAAAATATCATTTACGTTCACGTCAGATTATCAGGTGGAAATCGGTCGGAATAAAACAACTATGTAAGGTAACAATAACTAACGTCTCTGAGTAACACGAGGCTATTTTTCAGTTGTTTAAGCAGCACAGTGTTTTGAATGGTCAGCTATTTGCACCAACCATTCTTGCTCTATTTCGTATTCGTAGTCAGAAGGTTGCATAAATTCACGAAAGAAAATCAGCTGCTTTCGACTACCTGGTTACAGGTGGCGCTGTTGATGTACATTACGTAATGCGATGTCAATCAGGTGAAGCCGAAATACTTTGACGAGTAACAGAGATGTGTAACATTCTTCCATTTTCTTGTGTGTACACTTTGTTTGAAAGTTTATAGGGAAATATTACTAACCAGTAAATGAAACAAAATGTCTCGTCTCCAATTAGCGTAGTGAATGAAGCCTTGTGTCCGGTTGGCTTTCGAAACTGACAGATGTTACAAAACAAACACGATACAGAATGATTTGGAAAAATGCTTTCAATCCTAGAATTTAATATTTCGTCCAAATGTGACTGATTTTGGCTAGTCCATATTCTAACAGAGGGAAAAAAACGTTTGCAACACTACAGGTACCGGCGGCGGCGACCCTTGACCCACAGCAGGTAGCTAGCTGCTTATGGCCTGCTAACAGGGTGCAGGGTGTCTCAAGTTGTCAAGCATGGTTAGCTTTACCATTCTACTCGTGTGTTAATGTACTGGACGTATTCATCTTTAATGTATAAACAGGAAACTGTACTTGAAAATTACAGAACAATCTGGAACAATTTTTAATTATAACAGTAAGACGAGTCCAAGCGCCGATTATTGTTTTGGCTAGTAAAAAAGGACGTTGGTGTCTCAAATATTGGCCAAGCCTACCAGATCATTTGATGAGGTGAACTTCGACCTTGCTACTGACAATTACGCAAGAAGTTGAAGAACAAATCTTGCTGCAATCTCATTCTTTAGTTTATTATTGTTATTTTCATCGTGCAGGCGCGTAGCTTTCTAGCTATATGCAAATGAGTACACATAATTTTGATGAGTAAAAACATATTTAATATACATGTATTTCAAACCTTTCTTGCGTAAGTAAAGTAAAATTTAAAAAGAAAATCGCAATAAATACCTTTTTTTAAACTTTTTTTTCCAAAATTAAAATCAGAGACATAAATTCTGCTTAAATCTAATCGCCAAATTTCCAGAAAACACAGGAATTTGATCCAGAGACCTTGAATTCAAAAACTTTCCTTTGGGAGGCCAACCCCCAGCTGGGCCTTGCACCCCCCACTACTTGCGCTACACTTATCATAAAAACAATTAAGCAATTAACTTGAAACCATAGTTTCTCTCACCTGTGTTTAACACCTGCCAATCAAACTATTTTGATACAATGGAAAGTACCCTACCTGGACGGCAATACAATATACCCCCCCCACCCCCCTCCAAACAGGGGTGAAACTCTCGGTACCTGCTTTTCGCCTGGGGCTTTATATTCTTACAGGAATGGCGATTTTAAAGAGCACTGCAATACAAGCATTTCTTATATGATACTAACAATACGTACTCGGTACGATAACTAGTTTCATTATTTATATAACCGAACTTTTTTTTGAGAAGGCAATTAATGCGGAAAATTAACCTGGTAAGAATTGCAACGGTCACTGGTCTACGATCAGAGTTGTACGATGTCTATAAAGAGATCTAATTGTCCGTAACATAATTTTGAACAAGAGGCCCAAGGGCCTTAGCGGTCACCTGAGTTATATCATAGATACTGGTAGCTTTATTTTATTGTTCAGATGTGATGTGGAAATCAGTATGTAAACTAAGTGAAATACAATACTTGTCATGTCATCAATGGATAAGAATTTGAAAATATTGGTAAATGTTCCCTTTGGGGCCCCGCTCTAGCCCCTGGGGATGGGGCAGGAATCCTAATTTTACAAAGTAAAACTCTCATTTACCCAAGATGATTCTGACTAAGTTTGAGCAATTTTCTGCTGAAAATATATAAAATATATACCGAAAAGTGTTATTTCCCTATATAAACTATATTAAACGTTAACCCCTCCCCAAGGGAGAACGGATAGCTCGGGGTCCTGATATTTTCAATTTAAATAAAGCCCCTGATGATCTTTCTTTCCACGTAAAGAAAATCACTGTAGTACCTCTGAGTCTGGAGAAGAAGATTTTTGAAATATTGATTAATTTTCCCTTTGGGGCCCCGCCCTGGCCCCAGGGGTCGGGGTAGGAATCTCAATTTTACAATTTGAAACCATCTACCTCCAAGGATAATTCTCACCAAGTAAAAATAATTTCCTACAGAAAGTTGTCAAAATATACCCAAAAGTGTTATTTCCCTATATAAACTATAGTAAACTTTACCCCCTCCCCAAGGGAGAACGGATAGCTCGGGGGTCCTGAAATTTACAATTTAAG